TACTATAATATAAAGCGGTACGTATACTGTGTATATAGATGTCTATACATATTACGCATCCGTGCATTGCACTGTCTATTGCAGGCCAGCGGTGCCGAGGCACGTGGACTACACTGCATTCTTGCCGAGGCTGGATTCGATGCTGATTTTGATTTATGATGTTGAGATATCTCAACAAAGCAGGTTTATATATATATATATTATAAGAAACAAACATCAGGTTGTATAGTATAGTATATATATATATACAAATATATATATATATATATGTACATATATATATATGGAAATATACAGAATACATGTAAATCACCGATTGGCTAAATTATAAAATAGGAAATGAAATAAACTTTTATATGCATATACATAGGTGTGTACGTGTGGGTGGAATTATATATGGAACCGCATATATCGCTAGAATGCCTGGTTAAAAAAATAGGTTGTAACTACATACATAAATATACGATGTATATATATATATATGCATGGTTTGCAGACGTATGTAGGAATTGTTCTTTTACATATAAAAGATGAGTATATATATATATATACATATGTAGACCTAGATCGTACACGACACACACTCTGATCGATGGGACCCTCCACTGCAGGCAGCCAGCGGTTCCTGAACACGTTCGTGCCGAATGGGACGAGCCCGGTGCACCCTCCCGGCTCTGCATTTCATTTCTCCTGTGTTTGCATTGCGGTTGCGGGGGGATGCATGCGAAACTGGCCCATTCGGCTATCAAGGTTTTTGCTTGTGCATGCTCATGGTGCAAGCAGGTTCGGGGTATAGCCATAGCATATCGGAAGTGTGTGAACATTATGGTGCTTTCATGGAAGCATGATGGCATGCAAGCCGCGATGCTGCTGGAGGACGGATTGATAAATACAACTTAAGCTTATCCCTGTTCCCTAGTTTATAACTTAAGGTTTCAACCCGCCTGCCCTCGAGCCGTATGTTATTGCATACATGAAATCAAGTTGTATCTATTATAACGGTGCACTATCCATGTATATATATCTATCCATCTATTTCTACTTATATATATATATAT